CCAATAACAAGTTATCCAAGATGGCCGCTTGATTACCTGAGCACTAGCCAGTCTGCTGAGGGTGTGAAGATCGCTTTCACTATCGAAATCGTTAAGTGCTTTACTATCTGACTGCAAAGACAGGAAAGATTTTCTCCAGAAGCGTCTAATGGCGCTTGGCCACTATCAGTAACCATCACTTTGTTTCTTCATTCGTTTATCATTTAGTGATCAATTGTTATTCAAGAATCGAGCGACTTACTGGAATACAAATAAAAATGTCGGCATCCTGGAACCGATTGCCAACGTTATCATGCAAACATTTCAGAAATGTACGTTGAACAGAAGTAGTGAAACCACACAAGCAACGTCAGCAGTAATCAACGAGAAGATGGTTTAACGATAACTGATTTGCACAAATGACCCATTCTGAGGTGTTTTTCTTTTATTTTGTTTTTCACAAACTACTGGACGCTGTAGCCTGGAAAGAAATTGCCAATGAAGCAAGCGACATTGTCCGTAAAAGGGTTCCGTATCGGACCTTTATTTAGTCGTGCAGCAGAAATGCTTCATTCAGTGCTAACAAGTGAAGCAGCTATGTGCCAATCTGAAATCCAGTTCAAAACAACAAGAAGAATTAGCTATTCTAGGACTCCCACCGAGAATCTTATCTACCAACATTCAACGACGTTTGTAAAGAAGACGACTATCCTCAAGCATCAACCGAACCCACACGGAAAAAGTTAAAAGACTGCTAGTCTGGAGTGCTAGTAAATGGAGGATAGATGCTAGTAAAGGAATAGAATACAGTGCTGGAATCTGCATCGTAAATGTGAAGATGGGTCATATAAAGAAGTGGTCTAGTAACAAGACAGAAATGTAATGGCTATAATATTCATATACAGTGGTTTAAAATTTTTTTTCGACAATTGTTGGGTAAAAGATTCATGCATGTTATGCGGATGTTTAAATGGCCCGTCTTAATAAATCACTAAAGATTTCACGAACTTCACCACAACTTCTATTTTCCTGGTAATTTGATGAGTGGATAAGATGTCTTTTCTCTGGTGTCTCGCAAACCGTGAAAATTCTTTTCTATGCCGTCATTCTTCCTAGCTGGTGCCAGAATGGAAACCGTTTCAAGAAACGGTCTATTCTCAGATAGGTTTGCACATGGAGGCGTGGAATACCCTCTCAGAGTTGACACCTTGCTGAGCTGATATCTAGCACTACAGGACGGTTCAACACTCAAGAACACCGGTCAGTCACAGAGAGGGCAAACCTAGGCCACTGGGCTGCCATGAAGGAAATAGGTGTTGTTGGTGGAATATTTACAGAAAAGAAATTCAAATGCCAAATATTGGTATTCTAAGGCGTGTCAGCTGTGTCATTTCTCGTCTGTTGATCGTTGAATGGATCGAACGGACGCCAATAAACCTTCCATTTCACCTTGTCACGTGCAAGGGTAGCCCATTGGATTCTGCTCGCTCCAGGTACCGGTTGCGCACCAAATCTTCCTTCTAGGCTTTTCGTGAAGAACTCTGACCATCGGGTCGGTGTTCTTCCTGTAGTGCGTTTAACATCACGATGAATCTAGTCACTAACGACTCTTGTCCTCCGGTTGTCATTCATACGCATTACGTGTCCGACCAACTTTATCTACGACTATTTGGCGTACAGAACGGCATCTTCGATTTTTTATCGTTGATGTAGACCCGTGCTCCGAGTTACTTTCCTCATTTGGGTGATGTGAGACGAGCTTGCGTCGTCCTTTCGAGTGCTTGTCCAATAACGTTTAGTGGTCTTTCATTCTTCTTACTTAGCAACCATGTTTCTGACGCATACGTTAAATCAGGAGATGCCGTGGAGCCGAGAAAGTGGGCACAGAGTTGAATATTATTTGTTCTCCCCACTGTGCTTCTTCGTGCTCAACTCTGAAACGAAGTCGTTCATCATGTTGATCTCCCGACTTAAATAGACTTAACTGAAACACTCCGAGATATTCACTCCTTTGACCATGAGTGGGGCATATGTAACCAATCCGTTCAGCATGATCACCGTTATTGTGAGATCTAATCGAAGATCAATCATTCCACAAGCGTTGTCAAAGTCGATAAGCATTCATTCCGCCTGAATAATGTTGGTGTTATAAGAGCGAAGTCATCGGCAAGGCGAAGATGGTGTAATTGCTGACCATCAATTTTCACTCCCATTCACAAGAGTCAAATTCTAAAGAATACTTAAATACAACAAGACTCTGTATTGCCAGTGAAGAAGATACACTGCCCCATAAAATGAAGTGCATAGTGATATCGTCCTAAGCAGGAATGTAGGCAGCTAGTGAAAACAGGTTTCTTTTCTGCAGTAAAGTCGCAAAAAATTATAGGCAATTAGCCAAAAACGATAACTTGGTTTAGTGAATTACTCCGTTTGCTGCATGCTCATTCCTCGATTCCTTCTCCATTTCTGTCTTCTCTCTTCACATTTCAACGGTCCCATTCATCTTGTTTTTCTCTATTTCGCGTTTAACAACACTACCGTAAGAATCAGATTAAAACATACTAATACAGCTTTCCCTCCCAACGGCTTCCCTCCTCATCATGGCTGAGAGTGTTTCTGGGTGTCGGGCTGCGATGTACAAAGAGGCGGGAATTCATCCCAGCAGTGTCTCCCAAGCTGGGCAGGACCCCAGCGTTTCCACTACGAAGTCCAGCTAAGAGTAAACCAACACCAAGACCAATTACCGTGGTCCTGGCATCAAGCTAATCGCAAGATGGCAAATCTCCCTCTAATCCACAAGGGCTGCAACTACTTGTGGTGGTGGCAACCTGGGGCAGATTTTTCTTAGGCCGGCCCCTGGACTCCGGAGAGCTACAGTGGCCATGCCAGCAAAACTCCGAAAAAATGGGATTTATGCGGAGGCCCGCACGCCCAGTGAAGACGGGCCATCCATGTAACCAAGTGGAGAATAGAGGTTCCGGCTTTGATCATTCCCTTTAGGAATGCACCTTGAATTTTACTCCATTCTCTGAGTCATGGAGAAGATCAAATGCATATTTACATTATACAACGACTTGGGAGACATACCGATCTATCAAAGCAGCGTTTTATCCTTCCAGAAAACGCCGGTACACTAATCCAGGAGATATAGATGGTGGATTGGTTTGACCGATTGCCGAAGATCGTACCAACGACTATGTGTATATTCTTATATACCCCCACTACTGCGTTAGGGGACCAATTCTCTGTCTTCTCTTGTGCAAATAACCATTCTTATTAAATAGTAATTTCTTCTCGAAATCCTGTTTTAACCACTAAATTTTCTAAATTTTATACAAGGTAAAAAGTTGAAGAAAAAATTCCCAACCATAGTTTTGTTTTGGTAGGAATAAAACTCACTTAAGTGCTTTAATAAATATTATTCAAAAACCGCAGTTTTCGATGATTCCCTGCGCACTCAAGGACATTATATCATCACGGGCCAACATTGTTACTAATCTTACACATAGTCGTTATAAATTTTTAAATGTCTAGATGGAGGTGTAAATACTATGTATGTTAGTAAATGTCTTATGAAAGTAGTCTAACATTTAATAGCCCACTTATTACTTCATCAAACACAGAGCGACAATTTGGCAATAGAGCAGAAATTGACAGTGTTCCACTTTATCTACTGAAACCGATTTTAGCTTTTTTCTTGAAGATAGTTGATATTGATACAATTCGAAGAAGCCAATCCACGGAAATAAAAATGTTGCAAATGACCAGGGCATAAAACTTTAGGCTTTCATATAAACAAATACAGAGGAAACAATAGTAAAAAAAAAAGAGAAGATCACAACAAGTTTTGCTAGTAGATGAAAAGTGAAGTGAACAGATTAAAAGACTAAAGTGATTTATTACAGGGTATGGCGCCGTCAGTATCAAACACTTATTATCCAACATCGGAAGCGCCGCGATTGACAACAGAAGTACCTGAAGACAATGACGTACTTCCAGAAAACGTTATTGACTCGGCAAAACGAGAAGATGTTAGAAAGCCACGGAGAAAAGGTGATCGCTTAGCTTGTTTGTTTTTTCCGTTATGAATAAAGGCGTTTGGTAGATTAAGGTAGACGGTAGATTAGATGCATATGCGACCATAATTTTATATACTTGACAATTCCACGATGACTAGGCAAGCAGCAAATCCAGCGTAGAAAACATGAATAATGTTGAAAATCTGAAAGAAAAATACGAAAACAAAGGTTTATAGACACGTCAGGGAAGCAGATGTGATAGGCATGATCTAAAGTAACAGGCGTGAACTACAGTGTTCTTTTTATGAATGAATCAAGCTCAGTCCTGAATGTGAACTAAAATTTCACATGTTATCTCTTTGTACTTTATAAATAGGCATAGCACCAGTCGAAACCTAACTATAGCACTGGAAGCGAAAGAAACAAATACGTATTGATTTTCGCGTTGCGGTGATGACTTGTGCTCCGCCGTTTCACTCTTCGTGTTGGCTGTACGTTGCCCATAGGTGTCGAACTACGACGCAAATCTTGAGCTCATCTACCCATTAGAATAAGCCAAGATGTGAACAGTATCAGCATTTCTATCAAGGAACTCGACTGAGAATAATCGTATACAAGACAGTCGTTGTCTTTGCAAAACCTGGCGAGTAATGTGTAGTTACTTCTCGCAGAAAAACGAAAAATATTGGAAAACAAGGCATCATATCAAAAGTCTGATGCTTTTCGCAAACTTTGACCTATGAAATTCCACCTAGGCAGCTTAGAGATGTAATGAGGGTGAATGATGTTAACTGATTCCTGCACAGGTTACTATTTGGCTAATCAGAGTACAAGTAATGGAAATAGTGTCAGGAGATCGCTATCATTGATTCGCCTACTGTCACTAAATGTAGTTTACCTTAGCTTTGTCGTGATGCTAAAAGCACTGATTTTTACACCTTAATGTAGACTGAAAAATTTTGAGAAAATCGCTTTAACCTTTTTCAGCTCTTCTCAACGGCGTTGTTTTTTTTTGACAAGCAACGATGTCTTTTCAATAACTGGGGCTCATTAGGAATTCGAAACTTGGTAACGAAATAAAACAATTCGCTTAGAGCATACATGACTTTTTAAGATGCTATTTTAACTTCAAATTTGTTCAAAATCCAAAATTCTGAGTACAGGAAGGTAGTGTCTTAGGAAAGAAATCCTTCTTGTCCAGTTACTTTGTTCTAATCGCGACTGGAAAGGATCTATAGATTCCAATGGTTTTGATTCAATGTATAACCATGAAAGTAGAAATGCTTGATTAAAATTTTATTCTAAAAATATTTTCGGGCTTTCATGAGTTGAAATCGATTCATACGGTTGCAAATAGATTGATAACAACGAGCACTTTTAAGCGATTCCATGCGCAGCTCAACTATTATTAAAGGCATCAGCATTCCCGTTTCGTTCCGATTGAGCGCATATCAAAGTCTCTCAAGGGATACGAAAACACTTTAGTATTTTGATGTCATGCGGTCGTCTTACTGGTTGTTTTTTTGGATGAGTTACCGCGGGAAGCATCCTAGGCTCTACCGTGACATGGCTTGTTCTTTGATGCTTTTCCTGATAGGAGGATTGTTTTCAGCAGGTTGATTAACTACTGCTGCAGATCACGGTAAGACATTCAAGAAGCGCATGAAATATACTTTAAAAAAAATCATTTTAATTAGCTAATAGTAAAGCTTGCGAAGGAAGAGATTTGTTTGGAAAAGCTATCAATAGCTTATACAAACGATGAATTTCAGAATTATCGTGCAAACAAATTCATCCCGCAAATAACTTATAACTTCGGTGATCAACAACACGCTTAGTGATGTTTCCTGTAATTTAAACATTCACTGTTCAACTAATGAGGTTATCACAGTAAAGTTGATAAATTGGAGAATTGGAAAGATTATCGTTCGATTGGTGAGAATCACTTGTAGGAATGATGGTAGCTGCAGTCAAAATATCATCGTTACAGGCACAAACCTCTACGGTCGACCGTATTGTCCAGGACGGCCATTGTCGATGGTCGAACGACGGCGTATCATCGACCTTCATATGAGTGGAATGAAGGTGAACGCCATTTCAAAGGCGTTGTGCATTTCTCACGGATGTGTCAGCAAAATCATCAGCAGGTTGGATGCATTCTCATAAGCGTCAAAATTGACTTGTTCTGAATAAAGTGTTGGATTCGAAGGACAGTTTCTACACGTTGGCTTTTAAATTACACTATTCGTGTGAGAATAGAGCAAGAAGGAGCGATGATTTTTTTCACTTAAAAGACTGCGGAAGACTTAAGCTTAATGCTTATGCTGTTATGTTCGCCATCATTTAATGAATTCATTGAGATGGAATATGTGAATTCGTTATAACACATGGTTGACAGTCATTGTAGAAATCTTCAGTTTTGTATTCATAAGCGATTCCCTAAGACGACATAACTGGGTGTACGACAGAAACACGTGGTGCTACAGTGCATTTAATAGTTTAACATCGACATTCACTGCAAAAGGCCTGCTATTCTTTCCTTTCCAGCGCTTCAGCCAACTACATTTCCTCACTTCGTATCTGCTTCGAACTCTAGCAGTTGTTTCGTTTATAGTAGTCTGTTTTTGAAATTAGAGGGAGCTTTTCCCCAACAGATCTGGTACTGTTTGGCTGAACTCTGAGTGATTGAAAGCTTGGTTCGCCCAGGGCGGACTCGAACAGCGACTATGCTTCCTATACATGGCATCTTGGTACCATCCACTTCAATTTTTTCCACTTATCAGCATTTAAATTTAAGAATTTAACCGCAAAATAGCGATTAGGTTCGCTCACCTGCTGAAACACCTTTCAACGGGCATCCATCATATAAGTTCTCTGCAACCAAATAGTTGAGAGTCTAATTAATTCGTTCTCGGGCGCTGATTTAAGGATTAAGCCAAGATGGACGAACAGCTACAAACTCACCTGAAACTAAGGCACATTTAAGGGATTGGTTCGCTTTCGCCTGCTTCCATTTAGTTCTAATTCGCTTCCGATTAGCTGTTTTCATACACACTCCAAAGAAGCTTGACTGATTTACCATGAGCATCCGTAGCTAATAAGAGAGCTAAGTATCGAAGTAAAATTGGTCAACTAAAGGAATGAAATAGACTCAAAAGAAATAGGTGGTGCTCATTCTTGAAATTAACGGAATCATACAAGCACTTCTGTTGTGACAGAAAAATATAAAGGCTTTACTAGCATATGCCCAAAGCACTCACTTAACTATTGACGTGTTAACCGCGATTTACCTCTAGCTCTTACTAGTCATTATTAACCTGATTCGATTGCAGATACCGTCAAACGGGCATACTGTCACCAGCATCTTCACCTGAACAGCGTCGAACTAGAAGGAAAAAGAACGAATCACCACAATCAGCGTCATCGCTTGTCGATTTACATGAGTATAAACCCGATTTCAAACACGAGTATACTCACGCCTCAGCCGTCAACGACTATGCTACGCAAGATTTCCGTCTTCATTACTCTGCTACCGTTCCTCCACATGGAGTCGTCGAAATGGCTACCATGCAGCACTATACGATGTTACCTGAACAAATGCTTATGCAAGACTATCCACAGTCAATCCTCTTATGAACGACATACACTTTCAATCGCCGCCTGGGACAAGGACGCATGGTCATCTTCAACCCCGACTCCTACCGACTGCCGCTGACGATTCTCCTTCTAGCCAAGAATCTGCCACATACATTGCCTTGTTTTTTGTTTCCATCTTTGATAAACTGCCAAGCTCTAATAATTTTCTATTACGAGCGATTTTTATAGCAGTTTTCGTATTCTAACGCATACCTGTACATTTCAGCACGGCTAGGCTAGTTTTTTCCTTCTTTACATGTGAACCCGAAAATTTCTGATTAATAACTGTAAAGTATTAAGCAACCAGTTTTTCCTCTTTATGCTTCCTAGCAAGAAACGGCTTAAAAACTTTTGTATGCCATGTAGCAGTGCAAAATATGCATATTGATTTTGCAAGATGAATTCGCACCCATTGTATGCTCCTTGACTTAGATCTCTTGTCATTATGCTTCTCTGAAGAGCAAGACAAATAACATTTTTTCATTACCACTACAAAAAAACCTTTGAGGTACGGGTAGCTCATGTTGGAAAGACTCTATAAAGAAAATAAAATATGTAACAAAACGAGAACGCAGCCTGGCCGTACGAAAAGTACAGTCCGCATTTTGTTCATGTGTTTATAGTCTTATAGTCTACTTACGAGTTTTATAATTGAAGTTGATTAGATAACAAATCTATGGCGATTATAGTGTGTTCAAATTATCGATTTATCGATGTTTTCCCGATAACTCCGATCGTCGACGAGTAGTGAGTAAGCGTGGTTCATTTCCGTTGCAGGTACACACAGCCACATCAATTTTGGATATTGCTTCTATTTTTCGTGCTAAAATCAATCTATCAAAGAGATGTAGTCAATAATGTAAATACTGGAAATCATGCCAATCGATTATTGCTACGCATCAAATGCCAAATTCATTATGTTCGTTTTTATTATCATTACCATCCACCATCACCATCATAAAACGGTAGTTTACAGCTTCTGAATGAATTATTCGCGAAGAGATCATGATTTCTAATATGTTCTATCTATGAGTAAATTGTTATCTCTACAGATTTCTCGAGTGTATTCTAAAGATTCGACACTTATTCCTCGAGCTGGTAAGTGCCACCTATGATCGAAAATGCAGATAAGATGACTGTGCAAGTTGTGACAGTATAAACTCTAAGACAGTAATGTTTTGAAGATTGCGAGTTTGTTACCGTGATCATCTTTCCATCAAAAAATCGTCTGCAATGATGTCCTGAATACAGATATTGTAAATCGCCTATGTCTTTAAGCTTATAGTTTGCCAGAAGTGGGAGAACTATGAGTTTCATACGCAGGTTTAGTGACGAAATACACATGTGAAGAAAAACTACACTGAAGGAGAACTCAACGAAAACATAAGAGGAACACGATGAACAGACGAGTATTTATGACTGAAATTGACGTTCGCACAAAAAGCGCAAGTTACCGTATTACTAAAGACAAGCGCCTGAAATTTTTCCAATCGTTTTTCAATTATAAGACAGAACTAAAATTGGACGGCAGTAACTCCAAATGCACGAGAATATCGATTCTGGTGAAGAATTGGGTATATAAGTGAGTTAATGAGGTTGTAGTACGTCCTGTGTTCACGAAATTCACGACATTCGATAAAATATGGTTCCAGTACGTCTTGTGTTCACGGAATTTATGAGATTCGAATAAAAATATGGTTGCAGTGCGTCCTGTGTTCACGAAATTCATAAGATTCGACAAAATATGGTTGTAGTACGTCCTGTGTTCACGAAATTCATAAGATTCGACAACCTGTAATTCCTATGTTACAAATCTTAGAACTTTGCCACCTCTCGTAATACAGGATCAGACTTGTCGTTAGCATATGCGACACTTTCGCTAAGGGTACAGTAGTCGTTGATATGAACAGAAAATACTATAGGATACAATGCTAGGAAATCCGTTGATGTTAAACGAATTCTGTAACATAGGACAGTTTTTCTACCTCATGGGCTCTGCAGTAGCAAACAATAGTCGATGTAAGGTACTGACTAGGAAAACGATTACAAATATCTATACATCACACCTATTCATAGTAGCGTAGCACCGGGATGTTTTTCTACATTACCGAGATCAATCATGAATGAGTTTAAAAGGGCTAGAAACGATCGCATGACTGCAAATGAAGTGTAGCTGTATTCCCAAACTCTATCAGCTTCTTAACAATGGTATGATGATGTCTCAGGTAGGCTTGGACAAAGATGGAAAGAGTTCATTATTCCAGAAGAATTGATCACACATCTCAACCTCAAACGTTTTAGTTACTCTTTTTAGTGGTAGCTTTTTAAAAGAGGATGTATGAAAATTTTGTTCTTACGCTAGTGCCCTTGGAACCAGAACTTTTTAAAGATAAAATTTAGAAAATGCAATGTCTCTTCAGTCGAAAACTTGGTACGCTTGGTGGAACTCATAGTGAATAAGGCATCGTTACGCTAAAAAAGCAGGTTTCGACTGTGTAGACAGCCACTTAGGAAATCCCTAACAGTTCGTGCAAGAGGTACGGAGAGAGGAAAGCTTCTATCTCTGTCAACATTCTCATATAACATTCTTCAATCGCATACGGAAGACATAAGGAAAGGTGTAGAAGAAAAATATACAGAACACTTTAAACATAGAGAAGCAGCTGTGAAATTTGCAATGAAAAGTCAAAATTACTTTTCGAAGAAGAATCTCAATATTTTTATCGAACAAAATAGGTGAACTATGCTTAGCGGCTTGTCATCAACCGATCAAAGTCACCCTAAGGAGAATGGGAGAACCATGGGCAAAATATTGCCGGTTTTTGAACTGATGATAGCATATAGCTTATTGCTATTTTAGTGAGAAGACTTTAATAGGAAAAAGGATAAAAAAATTGTAGATGAAATTTCAGGAATAATAACGGGTTTGTGGCAAATATAAAATATTTATTGCCATGAAGACACAGCTAGGTAGTAAAAGGTACTAGTAGTAAAAGATAAAATAGTAGGAAGGTTAAAGTTAAAGCAAAGAAATAAAAATTAATCACCAATAGTTAGATGGTAAGCTTTCGGAACTTCTCAAAAATTTGCAAACTGACCGCCACTTCATCTCGGTGGTGATCAACAAGAATCTTGTCACATTGTTACCGAGACTTCGACTGGTGAAGACGAAGACGTCGAAACGTTAACTGAAAAAAAAACTTTTATAAAAACCATGAGTAAGCTTTTCAAAATGTTCGAAAAATTTTTTGATTACCCGAAAACGCGCTATTGACCGTCAACAACGAACATCGCCGTTACTTCAGTATTTTTAGTGACTTTATCGACTTCAATAATAAGACAATGTCTCATCAGAAATAGCATCCACGGTAGAGAACTAACTGCTGAGAGAAAAAGCTGGTCGAAATTTCCAAAACTCGACCTCAAAATCTTAAATTCAACTCGGATTGTAACCAAAACTTGGACAAGGAACCTAGAAGCGTTTTGAATCATTATGCAAAGAATCATTCCAAAAAATTAAAAAAAGGTGAAGTCTTTCTGAAAAACGCAGAATTATATTTCTTCTGCAAAATCTGTTTTGCTGAGGCACAAATATAAATGAAAAAGATATGGACATTTTTCTAAATGCTTGTGGTAACACTGAAACCTTTTGACACAATGGGAATAACCGAGGACTTGACACACTTGAACGGCTCATCCTCACTGGTTGTGCGTGCTCAAGCATAATCACCATTTATCGGAGATTTACTGGTTAAGCCACTGTGGTTTCCTCGGATTCCGAGGCCAGTCTGGCCAAAGTTTGCCACAGTTCTTCACCACCACAGGCAGCTGCAACCCTCGTGGACAAGAGGAAGATTTGCACCATGCAACTTTGATACCAGGACGGTGGCATATCCTGGTATTGGTTTACTCTTACCAAGGCTTTTTGATGGAAACGCCGGGTTTCTTTTTAGCTTTTGAGAGGTCCTGCCAGGGTGCGAATCACCCCGCCGTACATTGCAGTCCAACACCCAGAAACACCTCTCAGCTACGATGAGGCGGTAAA